TCCCAAAATAGTGTATGTTTCTCTAAGTTCTAGCATCCTCTCCAAGATATGTGATATGAGATTCTAAGTTATGTTGAGATATGATGTAAAAATGGCTCAAAATCCTTATATAAGTAGCTCAAGTGTCACACCCAATAGTCAAGTCTCGTGCACTAGGGTCCCTTCAATGATTGCACCACAAGCCATCTTTTAATGAGATGGACTCTGTTTTAATTCAGACTTAAGGAGGTTCGATCGATCAAATTCAGATGAGATCGATCGAACTGTGGCCAGATCCATCGAATTATGGCCAGATCGATCAATCCATGGCGGCGCCTTTTTGGAATAAGACAAATCTGAGATATTTTTAGGATATTTTGGGAAAAGACAAAAGTGGTAGGTGGGGAAAAGATCAAAGAAGTTCGATCGATCTGGAGAAAGTTGAATCAATTGAAGATGGAAATTCTTTGAGGATAAGGACAAGGGGTCTGATCCATCTTGGTGAGGTGAGATCGATCAATGTGAGATCGATCGAAAATATTCCTGATCGATCAAAGATGCTGATTTCCACCACTTTGCTTCCACTTTCCTTCATTCTTCCATTCAGCTTGAGATTGTTTCTTTTATGCTCTAATTTGGATGAATTGACTTATTTTGGGGATAAGCACCTGAAAAGGGCAATAACATGAAATTAGTCTAAAACGGGAAATTAAGATAGATAAAGGTCCTAGAATACTTGAGCTTAAGGGGTTTAAATGCGCACTTTTCAGCGCTCATCAGCAATCATGTCCAATCGCTGGTATAGGGTCCCCAAAAACAATGGCCCTAAAGGGATCGCTATTCCACTTGATATTTTCACTGCTATCAGGCACCATAGACTTATTGGCGCATCGTCCGGTGTCCCTGGGAATACATACTTTGACAACCAGCACAGTACATACGCTGCCAGTTTTGCAAGGTGCCTAATTTTGTCCCCCTCAACGGATGAACGCTTTGACTTGTCCCCTTTGAACGATGGTTGTAGATCTTTGAACCAGTATCATATCCAGGACCCTGCTGCACTCTTTCTGGCCCCTTCTGCCCTCTCGTTGCGCATGGCTCCCTTCGCACTAAAGAAAGAACCATAATTTTTGGTCTTCTCTAGACCCTATTTTAGCGCAGCCATTATACCCTTCTTTACAGCATCCATCACCAAGGGCATTGTAAACCCCCTTCCCATGACATGTAGGCCCAGCAATTGGGCCACATCCCCTAGCATGGGTGTAAATTCTCCCCATTTGGCAACAAAGGTGTGTGTTGCACTACACCTTGACAACAATAACTCTAGCCCTGGACCGTCGCGGGGCACCTTCAACTTACGAAATAGACGCATGGCTAGCGCAACTCGTGCTTGACGCAGCCACTGTATGTATATCTTGTGACTAAAAATGTGCTCTGACCATTCCTCCCACCCAGCACGGTCGTGTCGTAACACCCCAAATTGCAATGAAAGTGTGGCCAAGTTTAAATTTATAAAGAGCCACTACTACCTCTAACTACTAATATAGCTAGGGTGAATAGGGATTGTCCCAAGGGATTGAAGACTATGTTAATATGGAAACAAGATTGGATTAGTAGGTTAAGTGATCAAAAGATTGTTTATTGGTTAATTAAACTACAATGTAAATGAATTCAATACTAAACAACTAAAGTAAATAAAAAGGTAGAGAACAAAAGAGAAAGAGGTCTTGGGATCTAGAGGTCACCACTAAACATCACCATTCTAGACATTCAATCTATAATAAATGAGGGGAAAAATGTGTTGCAATTCAAAGAGGTGTGATTAATTGAATCAACAAACATGAATTGACTAATTAAGCATACATTGTCTAGACAACCTAGTGAATAGCACAATATATTAAACTAAGCCATTAATCCTTCCTTTAAGCTCATAATTAACGCACTAACAAGTTAGAGAATTATACTACTTGCATTCATAAGTATGGAACATCAAACAACAAGCATGAATTGTCCTCACATCTAAGAAAGTAAAGCAACTACACTACTTCTATGCTAAGGACAAGAAAATTAAACTAATTAAACTAAGGTAGATGCACAATCCATCAAGAAATGAGTATGAACCATCAAACAAACTGTAAGAGTATTCTATTTAAGTACTATGCCTTGACAATCTCTAGATTCATAGTATCAATACACATAGACATGCATCACTATCACAAAACTAAGAGATAAACACATGAACATCTACTCTAGCATATATAGACATTTGGATAGAATGAAATGATCAATTGGAAGTTTTAATGAACATAAATCATTTTAAGAACAAGATTCATATATAAATTAAGTGTCAAGACAACACAAATCCCCTCAAAATACAAAGCATTAAGGTCTAGAAGGCATACTTAGGGTTAACTCTAGCCCCAAGAAGATGTTTAGCCACTCATTGATGTAGTCATCCAACCCTCAAGGGCTATCTCCATGGTAGAAATACTCTTCTTCTTGATGGAAACCCTACAAGAATGGAAGAACTCCCAAAATAATGTATGTCTCTCTAAGCTCTAGCCTCCTATCCAAGATATATGATTCTAAGTTATGTTCTCTCAACATATAATTATATAAAGATATGATGTAAAAATGGCTCAAAATCCTTTTATAGGTAGCTCAAGTGTGACACCCAATGGTTAGGTCTCGTGCAATAGGGTCCCTTCAATGATTGCACCATGAGCCATCTTTTAATGAGCTGGACTCTGTTTTAATTCAGACTTGAGGAGGTTCAATCGATCGAATTTAGATGAGATCGATTGAACTATGGCCAGATCCATCAAATTTAGGCCAGATCTATCAATCCTTGGTGGTGCCTTTTTGGAATAAGACAAATTTGAGATATTTTTGGGATATTTTGGGAAAAAGACAAAAGTGGTATGTGAGGATAAGATCAAGGAAGTTCGATCAATCTGGAAAAAGTTGGATCGTTCGAAGATGAAAATTCTTTAAGGATAAGGACAAGGGGTCTGATCCATCATGGTGAGGTGAGATCGATCAATGTGAGATCGATCGAAAGTGTTCCTGATCGATCGAAGCTTGCTGATTTCCACCACTTTGCTCCATTCTTCCATTTAGCTTGAGATTGCTTCTTTTATGCTCTAATTTGGCTGAATGGACTTATTTTGGGGATAAGCACCTAAAAAGGGCAATGACATGAAATTAGTCTAAAATGGGAAGGTAAGATAGATAAAAGTACTAAAAAATTCTAGCTTATGGTGTTTAAATGCGCACTTTTCTACGCTCATCACATCCCCAAACTTAAATATTGCTAGTCTCTAGCAATGAACTACAAAGTAAAGGAATGAAATGAATAACTAATTAACTATGAACTAGAAAGCAACAAATGGAAAATGCCACTTTCGTAGGGAACACGATTGCATTTAGCATATGCAACAAGCCTTTTAAACCTCTAGGTTACCCCTAGTGGATGAGTGAAGTCTTGTGAGGGTTTCCAGAAATGATACCCTCAAACATTAAGCTCATCTGACTAAAGAGGCACCAATATTGCAAACAAACATTAGGAAAAAACTACCTCAAGTATGCAATTTTTCAACACTTTCCAAGCAATATTCCAAAATCTCAACATCAAACAAGCAAGTATGGTCCTCCACACATCAAGAAAATGATCATGCAAATCAAAACAACACTAGAATCCTTTTTGAGTGGACCGGCATCAAATATGCTGCTATCTAAGCCAACTATAGAAATGATCACATCCTTACCCTCAAACTAGCACACAAATCTAGTACCGATCATCAAGACAAAGAGTGAACCTTTAATTAAAGCTTTATTGATCTAGTTGCGCTTATTTTTTTCACTCAATTTCAATTTTTTTTTTGTTTAATCTATCCCTAAGGATCAAAGATGGAAGCATAGTGCAATATGTTGATCTATTAAGCTTTCTAGTGATCCATGAGGTCGAGCGTTAGGTCAATGACTCCCAAACCAAACGGTTTTAGGGCACTAGGTGTTCAAACACCCCTAAAGACTTACAAACTCAAATCAACTAGGCTACAAATCAAAACAACCGCCATTTAATCATTTCTCACTTCTTACCTTTTGGTAGAAGTCCTCACTTTATTTTTTTATTTTTTAAATTCAATTATTAACCTAGAGTTTGGGCCTTCCACCTTTCGGCGCGAGAAATTCGATACTTGATGAGGCTAGAATCTCGGCTACTCAATGAAAAGGGTTTGTTATCCATTTTTATCAAGAATGAAAGCTTTCAATGCACTACTAGCCCAATTGGGATATAACCAATTCAATAGTCAACAAAGCATATACCCCATAAATGAATGCTAGTGTGCGTCTATGCTAGTGTAGAATCCTAGAGTGAATCTTAAAACAATCACAAAATCACGATGATGTGGACCATAAGTGCAAGCATGATATCAATTTTTTGAAAAATTTACTCCTAAATGGCAACCACAAGGCTTACAAGGAGTATTGGACTCTCAAGTCAAACAATTTTTAAATTTTAAATAATATAGTCCTCAAAAGATTAAAGTCACAGCTAGTCATGGACCAATCATAGAAAATCTTTCAAATACACAAGTCATGCTCAAAATTTGAATTGAAAGCAAACAATACAAATAAACACCCATTACCTCCAAACTTAAATGGCATAGTGTCCTCAATGTGCAAAGAGAACAAAGGAAAGAGTATACCAGTGCAGCTAAGACAAAGAATGGCCTGGACATAAATATCTGAAGTGGGTAATATAACTCCCCCAAACTTGGGATTGACTGTGGTCCTGAAAAAATAGCACTGGGACGAAATCTCATCAGATAACAAAAGGGATAATAACAATGCACAATGGACAAGCAAGTGTAAATGGGATAATAAATGAACTAAGGAGAGAGGAAAAATGATGGTCTTAAAAATTTTTGGGCAGTACTCTCTCTCACTGAAGTCACTGGGATGCACCTGATAATGGAGTCAAGAACAGATAGATATATCAATATAAGAATCTGACATCCAAGCATAGCATGCATAGAAAGAGATGAATAATGTACAGTACATCACAGTATCAGGGCCAACAGACTGGCCGCAAAAATAGCAGTATCAAAATAATAGTAACGTATCACATATATATAAAATGATGAAAGAGAAGTATAGAGATAAAGATCAGGTAGAAGAAGTAGGGCGAGCAGGGCATGATCTCCAGATATCTCTGGATAAATCCTGCAGCGCAGCTATGACATCTGAGTGGAGGGTAGTCATATCAGTGCTGAGAGAGGCCACATTCGACCGAAAAGAGACAACCGCGTCCTTTAAGGTCTGTATACGCTTTTCTAGGCTAGGTGTCGGAGTTAGAGTGTCAGGGATAACTAGATCATGAACTGGAGGTATATCCTAACCCTGCTCCTGAGAATGCAATGGCGACCCTACCGGAGAGTGATATGGTGACTTTGCTGGAGGCTCTCGCTCTAAATCTATGTCCATATATGCATCCGCAGCCGCCAGTAAGTGTGATACCCCTCAGATCCGAGACATGGGTTGATCAGTCCCAAGCCCAAACCCGAGGGAATATCAAACAATTAATATTTAAAACGAACACAGACTATAAAATAAATTAAGAAAAAATATTAAAAGCTGAAAGATCTCTAAATATAAATCCTTAAATATTTAAGATTAATAAAATCCAAATCCTTCCAAAACCTCCAACAGTTTAAACAACTCGGGAATCCATCTCTAGTGGACCCCTAATAAAAATCCAAACTGAAATGTAAATAACTGAAAGAACATCCAAAGCTAAACCATGGAGAGAAGTCCTACATCGTCGAAAGAGTGAGTGATAGTCTCTGCTCAGCACGATCAAGCCTACGACTGGAACTGTCGAACACCTGAAAAATAGAAGTGGGTTAGGCCCACAAACAAGTTCTATCCTACTACAATCCGAACAGAGACTTGATACGCATGTACATCCTAAACAACTCAACAATAGCTATGTAATCCGTACATATATATATCCACACTACGGGACTCTCACTGGACTATGAAGAGGGTCTCAACCTGAACAGAAGGCAACATGCAAAACGCATTTGAGTGGGCATGAGTACCTAAGCCTAAACAGGGTATACCTCAACCAACATAGCCAGCTACGCATCTTACTACATATATGCTCCCTGACCGTCGATCCTGAGACTCAAGCTCATATCGCAGTACCAAAAATATATACTTAAAGTCCCATCATATCCATCCAAAAGCAATCCAGTTTGTCATTCAGCTTGTGCAACTTCTTTAACTTAATATAGATGGCAAGTAGTCCAGTTAGTTATTCAGCTTGTGCAGCTTCTTTAACTTAAATATAAGTAGGATTTTTTTATAATCCATTCCCTTATTCCATATAGGTAGGATTTAGTATTTTGAAACTAATCCATCCCTAATATGCCATCATCCCATACCGATGCATACAATCCATCCATCTAGCAGTTGATAATACAGTCCATGCATGTAAATATCAACTAATCCATAAATCCAACAATTGAGAATAAAAATATTAAATTTAAACATCAATTGTTCCATAATGAGCATACCAAAGTTATGTATTTTAATATGTTGATTTTACACTACACAACCAAAAATCCAGCAATTGACAATACAACAATATATATAAATATCAATTTATCCCCATAATCCGTACAATTGAGAGAACATAAATAAATTTCTACATCAATTAATTCCATAGCAAGCATAATAAACATTGGCTAATTATCATGCTCATATTACCAGTCCAACCATTGATGCGATAAATGCTGAAATTTAAACATCAATTATTCCTTAACAAGCATAATAAAAATATATAGATTTTAACATGCTTATTTTATACCACTAATACATGATTAGAATTTGATAATTATTCACAGGAAATTGCTAGAACAACATAAGCAATTTGAACCACTTGCAACCACTTACAGTTTGCATAACTTGCTAAGAACTGTTTACTGTTCAACCTATAAACCCTAAGTGGTTTATTATTCATTCCCACACCCTCTAGAGCTTTAATACAACCTCAAAACTCATCTAGGTTCCCATGTACAGTCCCTGAATACTCCAGAAAGACCAAAAACCAAACCCAGAAGCAAAAATATGCCAAAAATGCATCAAAATGGGGTGGAGCCGCCTCCCCCACATGGGGAGCCGCCTCCCCCTTGAGTGGAGCAGGCTCCACACCATGTGAAGCTGCCTCTACCTGCCTTAGAGCCGGCTCCACCCTTGTGGGGAGCCGCCTCTACTCATAGAAACCCCTACTGCTTGTTTCCCTCACCCGTTTCACCTACGGCGACTTCCATTCCTTCTGTCCTCCATAGTTAATGTTCCTACTGGTTAATACTAAGTCCCAGTGTATTCTAGAGATTTTAAAAATCATTAATTAACTTCAATTAGAACAAGAAATATGCAAGGAAGAATTAAAACAAGCAAACACTAAACATGTAAACACATATAATCACAGATGAACCTAAACATGCAAACCAGATTAATCTAACATTTATTTACTCCTAGAATTGTAAGAGAGATGTAAAGAACACAAGTTAAAGGGAAAGAGTTAGGAATAGAACTTGCCTTTAAGATTTGGTTCAAAATCTCAGCGTCGTCTTCCTAAGGTTTCCGGCGAACGTTCTGTTTTCTCTCTCTATCTTCTCCTTGGTTCAACCCTGGAACAACACCCCATTAATTCCTCCTTGGTTCAACCTTAGTCCTAGCTAAACCCTAACCAAAGCACTCTGTTTCTCTCTATTTCTCTCCGTCTCTCTGTATACATGAATAGGATTTTTTTATTTCTAAACCCTAAGCCGACGTCTAATGATAAATTTATACAGGCTTAAGGAAAACCTAATTCCAATCTTAAGAAGAGACTAAGTCGGCTAACCGTGAAGAAATTAAAACCCTAAAATAATAATGAATAAGAAACCAATAAAACAATTAAATCAAATTTTCACGTAAAAACATATTAAAGAAAAAATAATAATAATTAAAATAAATATTCAATTAAATAATTCGATTAAATAAAACAAATACTACAATTAATTCAATTAATTAACAATAATTAAAACAAATAAGAAAATAGCCAAACAAATACATAAAAATGCAAAAATTACAATAAAACCATAAAATAAACTACCGTGACTATCCTTTTAAAATTAGGGGTATTATAGTGGGTCTACTGGATCATGTTCTGCCGCTGCTGCTACTGTTGCTACCTGCTCTGCCTCCTCTAACTCCGCCGCCTCCTTAGCTGCCAAAATAGTCTCCTACTCTAAGCTCCTGATAAGAGCATTATAACTCTTATTCTAATCCTTCTTGCCATAGTGGCAAGCCCCTGACTTAGTATGTTCCTCCGGGTGAAAGGGATAATGCTGGTCCCGGAGGATCTGTGTAATAAGATGTCTAAAAAGGGGGAAAGTGGCTCGCTTAGGCTTGGCCTTGCTGATGTAGCTCGCATATAACCTCATCATGACACTCCAGATAAGTGCAGGAAAAGAGAACCAATGCCCGGTATAGAAGGCATAAAGAGCAGCCAAAAAGTCTGAACACCGCTGGATCTTATGGCCTGCCATAAATACATTTCGGTACAAGACCGAATCGAAGAACCAAAGATCATCGGGCAGATAAGTCCTCGTGGCGAATGTCTCGCTATCACTGTAGTGGCCAATCAGAGTAACGGTCATGTCTACATCAGATGGCCGCCTGAGAATAGGATAATAAAGGCCGGGAGGGCAGATATGCGGGCATCGAGAAGAAGTGGCTAATGACTTAATAGTGATGTGGATTAGATGGCCATTTATAGTAGTCCGCAGCTCCGATAGGTTACTCGGGGCCGACCGGAGGTTCTGGAAGAACAACCGGACGAGCCTCGGGTAAACTGGATAAGTGACTAGAGCAAAAATGGCTGATATGCCCCGCCGGTCAATATCATCAAATGCCGCCCGAGTCAGAACTGACCGGGAAAAGAAGGCAATGTTGAAGACCGACTCATGCGCCACCTGTAGATGTGTATATCTCCTACTAGGCCTGTCTTGGATCTAGCCTGGTAGTGCTGGTGGTGGTGAAGGAGGTGGTTCATGCTTAGCCTCATCAGAAGAAGATGATGCGGAAACAGAAGACTGTAATCTGGTATCAGCTGATGAGGATTGAAATCGGGCAAAATAGATATATATAGATATATATACATATATATATATATGTGAGTGTTTTGAAACTTTATATATAGCAAGAAATCAATAATGGAATCTCAGATCTATCATGGCAGGTCTCAAATATAGAGATGAAGCTTTGGATTCGACAAGAAAGTGCAAAACTTACCAAATCGGGTGAGAGAAGTGGAGACGAATGAGAGCTGACGAGATCGAGTGCGAGGATGGAAGTTTTGAAGCTCTGGAAGCTTGCCGGAGATTCGCCAGAGGTTGGGAAGAAAGTGGGCAGTGGCGAGAAAAAGCTAGGGCCTGAGATCGATCTTTGAAATCGATCCAAATGACCCTTCGCTTCTACTTTTAAAAACTGTTTCCGACGAGTCTGATTAATCACTGAGAAATCAGATCAATCGAACAAAGATCAATCTGAAAGGGACTCAAATCGATTTAACCTCGCAAAACGATAAGCATTATTTATTTATTATATATATATATATATATATATTTGGAAAAGAAAAAAATAAAAATCAAATTAAATCAAATTAAATAAAAGTAAAAATCAAATAAAAATCTTTTTAGAATTTTTAAAAATATTTTTGAAATAAAAATACAATACAATAAAGTAGAGGAAAAATATTTTTGGATTTTGAAAAATTTCTTAAAACTAAAAATATTTTTGGAATTTTTGAGAATAAAATAAAAAATTCAAAATATTTTTGCATTTTTGTTATATTAAATTCAAAATTCAAAGGGCAGTCAAAGTCAAAGTCAACAAAGGAACACAGATCGATCAATCCAAGATCCAACTGGAAGAGACTTCGATCGATTCAACAGGTGAAAACCTACAGACAAGTTCGAACAATGCACAGAGAGGCCTTTTTCATGGGTTCCAAAAATTTTCTAAGTATAGAATGAAGATCGATCTGAGAAAATCTCGATCCATCTCAAAACACTCGGATTGATCGGAAATAAAGTTCGCATGATACTCAGAGAGCTAAAATATGCAGGAGAATTACGCTCGATGGGACAGAGAGATGATTAGATGTAGGGTTGGCAGTTCGATCGATCGAACCTCTTTTGAGATCGATCGAACAGGTGCAAAATGCCTAATTTGAAAGTGAAAGTGCATGCATTCCCAACCAAAGTCCTTATCAATGTGTATGAACCCAGAATATATCTAGACGACGCAAGAAATGAAAGTTAAAATAGAAATGAGGGAGGAATAGGGTTGTAAACCCTACGAAACACTGTCTTTAACAAGACGTTGGGCTCTTTTAGCCCGGATCAAAAATCTTATGATGGATCCCCTCCTTGACGGGGTAAATGGCACTTTGAATCCCACCCAACAAATTATTCCCTAAAGAACTCGTTGGATTTGAATCAAAAGAGATTGACGGTTTTTTGTCTATACAATTCTTGGGCTTCCATGTCCTTTCAAACTTTGTTTTTGAAACAACATTTTTAGAAATCATATTGGAAGATGAACTTTTGGAAATTTAACCTTCAAGCAACGACTCAACTTTGTTACATTCATTGTCAACACACTTCTCCACAACACACACTTCTTTATGCTTATCCATTGAATTTGGGGTTGGATTAAAAATGTTCAACTTCACCTTCATATGCCCAAATGAAATTTTCATTATCCCCGTCCTATAATTTATGTTGGCATTTGCGGTTGCCAAGAAATAACGGCCAAGGATAACAGGATTTTGATTCTTGGGAGTTGGGACCGGTTCCATGTCAATGACAAGGAAATCAACGGAGAAGAACAACTTATCAATCTTAATAAAAACATCCTCAATGATACCTCGGGGCTTTTTGATGGATCGGTCGGTAAGTTGCAAAACTACTGACGTCGGTTTTAAGTCTCTTAAGCCCAATTTAACATATACCGAGTAAGGAAGAAGATTTACACTTACTCCTAAGTCAAGAAGAGTCCGATTAATGACATGGTCACCAATGATGCAAGAAGTAGTAGGTGAGCTGGGGTCTTTAAACTTTGGGAGGGTGTTGTGTTGCAAGATAGAGCTTACTTACTCGGTCAAGACAACTTTCTTTGGTGCTTGGCTTTTGTTCTTCCTTTTTTGGATGCAAAGATCTTTTAAAAACTTAGCATAAGCCGGAATTTGCTTATTTGTATCCAAAAGTAGAAGATTAATCTTCACTTGCCTAAACACTTCGATGATTTCATTCACCTTGGTCTTTTGCTTTCCAATAGAAATGGACCCTTTCAATGCGTCCGGAAATGGAGCTTTTAGCTCAAAGTCTTTTTCAAAATCATTTTCGACACAAAAAGTTTTCAACTCATTCTTCAAATCACTTTTCAAATCATTTTTTAACACTTTTTCACAAAGATGATCATGCACATGCAATGAAAGAGGAATATAATGTGAAACGGGATAGGTGTCAACTTTTGGTTGCACCAGTTCACTCTTTTCATTTTGGACACCAATTTGATTGTCCACAATTCCCCCACTTCTCAAAGTCGTCACCGCATTGACATGTTCAATTGTGTGACCTTCATTGGTTTCTACAACGAATTGTTGCTTTGGTGGGGCATTTAGAGGCGTCTTCCCTTTCTCTCTAGCATTCAAGGTACTAGCTATTTGCCTGACTTGGGTTTTTAGCTTAGCAATGGATTGAGAATGGGAATGAAGCAATTGAGTGTTTGCCTCTAGAGTGCCCAAAGCGGTCAACACTTTCTCCTCAAAAGTGGGACTCCTAGAATTTCCTTGGGAATAAGATGATTGATTAGGAAAATGAGAGTTAGAAAATTGGTTTCTATGTGATGATTGAAACGAAGACCTATAACCTTGGGAACCTTGGCTTTGCATTAGAGGCGGAACATACTTTCCTTGAAAACCACCATGGGTCCCCTTGGTTTTTCCAAGAGAAGTTTGGATGGTTCCTCTATCCTAGATTGTAGTGTGAGCCATAGGGATTATTCCCTTGGTTGACAAATGTAGCATTAACTTGTTCATGATGCTCATTTTGCACAAGTCTATGGGGACAATTGGAAGTAGTATGTAAGACATTAGAATAAGTCATACAAGATTCATTAGATGCATGATAAGTATGATTGGGGGAGGAAGACATTTGATTTGCCGAATTGTGGTTGACCAAAAAATGATCAAACCTTTGAGTTAAAGATTTCACCTCGGCGGCTATGTCATTTGAATTGTCAACTTGATATAAGCCGACATTCTTCTTTCTACCTAGAAGTCTACCATTTTTAGAGGGCAAAGATCTATGCATGGAATTTTCACCCATACTTTCATATAATTACCAAACATCATTCTCATATTTATCAAGGTAAGAACCACCCATAGATGCATCTACCATTCCTTTTTGATTATCCGACAAACTTTCAAAGAAGTATTAGACTAATTGTTTCCTAAGCAAGTCATTAAATCTTTCCTATGCCTTATGAAACAGTTCCCCTTCCCCTTGAGAAAATTCACGAATGGAAGTTCTCATAGCATTGGTCTTTGATACCGGGTAGTACTTCTTCAAGAAATCTTATTGCATTTTTGCCCAAGAAGTTATCGAAAAAGGCCTAAGATTGTTGAATCAATATTTTACTTTGTCTTTAAGGGTAAATGAAAAAAGTTTGAGTCTTAACACTTCTTCTGGCATGTCCGTGTATTTCACGGTGGAACACACTTCAAGAAATTCATCCAAATGCTTGTACGGCTCTTCACTTGGAAGTCCATGATAGTTAGGAAGCATTTGAATGGTTTGCGATTTAATCTGATAGTGATGTGCTCTAAATGGGGCAATTAAATACATATTGGTGCATTATATTCATTTGGAACATAATAATCACGCAAAGCAATGGGAGGATTCCCAACCGGTGGTGCTAAACGAACGCCGTGATTAACTTGAACCATGGGAGGTTGTGGAGCAAAAATTGGCCGAGGCATTCCCAATGGAATTTGGCCTTGTTGTTGTAGCGGGATGAATGATCTAGGCATGCCTAATGGTACTTGGATGTTGTCATGATGCACATTAGTATAGAGGATGCCTTGTTGGTCTATATGACCAAGGTCCTCCACATGGTCGTCATGTTGCTCTTCCATTGATGAAATGGAGTGATGTGAACTACCTCTTTCCCTAGGATCACGAACAATCGATTCAAGATGCAAATTAGGAGGGACAAGAGTAGGATTTAATAACCTATGACCATGCATGCACTAGCAAAACAAATAACAAGCAAATAGCAATCACTTCACCCCTACAACAAATCTCCACACACGATGATCCCATACTCCCATGCTTGAACAATATGCAAAGAAAAAGTAAATTGCCTCCACGCGGGCTCACGATTTATCTAAGAATTTAAGAACTATGCATCACGCGGGCCGACGATTTAACTTGAGATTGAGTTAGAAAGATCTCACAAAGGGTCCTTAAGCAACTTCAATTCATTTTTCAATTTTCCGTTTAGCTTTGCAATTTTTAGATTTTAACTCTTTTTGTATTTAGCTTAGCTCCTTACTTTCAATTCTCCTTTGCTCAACTTCCTTGCTCAAATCACCTAGCCAAATAAGAACAAACACAATAAATAATTAAAAATAAAGTAAGTAAAGTAAAGATACGATCAAAAGAGTACTAATTCCTAATTGTTTCCAAAACATGGCGTTGCCAATTCAGTCCCCGGCAACGGCGCCAAAACTTGGTGTGGTCGTGTCGTAACACCCCAAATTGCAATGAAAGTGTGGCCAAATTTAAATTTATAAAGAGCCACTACTACCTCTAACTACTAATATAACTAGGGTGAGTAGGGATCGTTCCAAGGGATTGAGGGCTATGTTAATATGGAAACAAGATCGGATTAGTAGGTCGAATGATCAAAAGATTGTTTGTTAGGTAATTAAACAACAATGTAAATGAATTCAATAATAAACAACTAAAGTAAATAAAAGGGTAGAGAACAAAAGAGAGAGAGGTCTTGGGATCTAGAGATTACCACTAAACATCACCATTCTAGACATTCAATGTGTAATAAATGAGGGGAAACATGTGTTACAATTCAAAGAGGTGTGATTAATTAAATCAACAAGCATGGATTGACTAATTAAACATATATTGTCTAGACAACCTAGTGAATAGCACATATATCAAACTAAGCCATTAATCGTTCCTTTAAGCTCACAATCAACAGACTACCAAGTTAGAGAATTATACTACTTGCATTCGTAAGTATAGAACATCAAACAACAAGCATGGATTGTCTTCACATCTAAGAAAGTAAAACAACTACACTACTTCTATGCTAAGGACATGAAAATTAAACTAATTAAACTAAGGTAGAGGCACAATCCATCAAAAAATGAGTATGAACCATCAAACAAACCGCAAGAGTATTCTATATAAGCACTATGTCTTGACAATCTCTAGATTCATAGCATTAATGTACATAGATATGAATCAATATCATAAAACCAAGAGATAAACGCATGAACATCTACTCTAGCAAACATAGACATATGGATAGAATTAAATGATCAATTGGAAGTATTAATGAACACAAATATTTGTTAGAACAAGATTCATATATAAATCTGTTGATGTGGTTTGCTCTTTGAATGATAAATACTAAGTCTTTGGGCTAAATGGTATCACCTATCTTGAGGCTTGTTTCTTGAATGACAAATACCATACAAGGACTGAATTGCATGTTGAAAAGGCTGCTGTAGCAAACAGTTTTGGTCCAAGGGATATGTGTTCTCAGCAAGGGCATTTCAGTATTTTTACCTACATCCTCAGGGGTATTTTGATCTATCTAATTTGCAGTGTATGATTGGAAACATTTTCTGAAGGTGCATTGTATCTTTGCTTCAGAAAAATTTGCTGAATATCATCATTTAGCTTGTATACACAAAATGAATCATTCCAAGGGCAATTTTGGTACTACATTGATATCTCAAGGCTGTTAAAGGGTTCACAGCAATGTGCCACGTGCACAGTGGTCCTGGTGAGAGAAAATTATGCACAAAAATACATTTCTTTGCTGTATATTTCAGCATTGTTCATTGACCTGTGAGGGCTGTAAAAAAAGTGGTTGGTGTGACAAAAGCTAGGGTTGTACAGGGATTGTTTGGTCCATTCATGGTATATAATTTCTGTATATATCCCTATCTATGATTGGCTAAATGGGGAATATTCTTATCCACACTAGGGCAACAAATTCAGTGTATAAATATACTGTTATAGAGCAGCAGCTACGTGTGCAAATATTGAGCCTCTTTTTAAATCTTGAGCTGCATTGAGTATGAAACTCGAGAGCTGAAAATATGAGTGACTTTCAGAGTGATTAATTGAAGTTCTGAGCTAATTTAATTTCTGAAATCACTATGAGATGCACTAATTCATTGAAGAGTTTCTGAACCTGTGAAGCAGAATTTTCTGATGCATTTATGTTGATGTTGAGGCTGGATTGAAGGGTCAAAATTGGTTGTAGAGGTTCCAGGTGCTATGTGAAGGTTGGAGCAAACTTGGGACACGAATTTACATCTGCAGAACTCAGGTATATGCGTAAACTTGCACAGAAAATTATTATGAGTTCACATATCTCAGTTTCAAGCTATTTTCTGGTTTAGCCTCTTGAAATGTGAAGAGAATGGTTGTATCTTGCTATAAGTTTCAAGTTAATCATTCTAGCAAGTTTTTATCATTGATTGAAGGCTGTTGAAGTTCACAAATTGCCAGAAATATAACCACCTTGTTGTTTGACCTTGTAAACCTAAGTTTCTAGGGTTTTAAGCCTGAAATTTGAGATTTGAGCAGTGAATATTCTTTACCATGCTATACTTACTGTTCTTACTATCTGAGCATGTGTATTATCATGAAATATGATTGAGGACTTCGAGTACAAGGCTGTGCAACTGTGAAATTACACTTCAGTCCTTGAGAGCAGGGTTTCTGCAGAAATTGATTGAGTACAGATTTTGGAGCTGAGTTTGACCTGTATACTGATGTGCTTAACTTCTAAGCTTTTGTGTGAAGTTGATACAATATTGTGAGAAGATTTTCCAGGTCTGAGAAACTATAAATTTTCATTTATACCCCCTGAACAGAGATGTCTCAGTTGCTGCAAACCTGAACCTGCTGTGAGCAGCTTAATTGATGTATTCAAGCTACATTGTTCTTTCTTGCCTATATTACTTGATTAATGTTATTGAGCAAGCTATATATACTGAGTTGAAGCTATGAATGTCTATGTTGAGAAGGATTTGAAGCTTATTAAGTCTTTAGTTGACAAAAGCTGAGATTTAAGATTTAAACTCTGATTTAGCTGCTGTGAGCTTAGACTTTGTTATATCTTGCTACTTTTAATTGTTTCTATAAACTGAGCAAGTGTATCTTATATATTGAAGTCTATGGGTGCAAAGTTTGGGGTATTATTGAGGCCACATTATTGTTTTACCCTTGAAAGCTTAAAAGGTAGGGTTTGTTGAGACTAAGCCCTTTGTGATCAGAAATTGTTGCCCTTTGTGATCAGAAATTGTTATTCCTTGCTCTATGTATTGAATATATCTCTTGAGCAAGATTGTATGAAGATGTCAAGGCTGTGGATACAGAAGAAAAGTCAGTGGTAAGGCTACAGGGTGATTTGACAGTTATACCCTTGCTTAGGGTTTTGAAGCTTTGTGTGCAGAAATCTGTTGAGAACTTGTTGTTCTTTGTCTAAGATTGTGTTGAGCAAGTTTGTTGATCTAAGTCAAGGCTGTGGGAACCTAGTGAGTACTTCAGTTAAAGCTGGATTCTGCCTTAGAAGGTATATTCAATTAATTGTAGAAAAGAGAAGTTAGGGTTTCACTTTGTTATCAACTTAAAGCTGTGTATTGTACTCTCATTTGTTGTAACAGCTTAAGAACATTGTTCCTGTTGTATTGACATTTTATTCTATTGTTGGTTGAGCTTAGAGAGCTTATTTGGTCCTGGCAGGGTTGCCTAGGACAGGGGGAGTGTTTGTATACACTTTATTGGGCTAGTGTGTGAAAGCTAGTGTCTACTTCTGATACAAGGGTGTGTGCAGAGAGTCAGACAGCTAAGTGTGTAACAGCTTGCTTGCAGCTAGTGGATGATTTATTGGCTGAGGCCATGAACCAAGGTTTTTCCCTATTGAGAGGGTTTTCCTTGTAAACCTTATGTTAGGTGTTTGATTCATGTTTGTTTGGTTTAGCTTTCATTGAAGAAAAAGCTTAAGTTGACCAATTCACCCCCCCCCCCCTCTTGGTCTAACAAAATCAAGTGCCAAGACAACATTACAACACAAATCCCCTCAAAATACAAAGCATTAAGGTCTAAAAGGCATGCTTAGGGCTAACTCTAGCCCTAAGAAGATGTTTAGCCACTCATTGATGTCGTCATCCAACCCTCAAGGGCCATCTCCATGGTAGAAATGCTCTTCTTCTTGATGGAAACCCTACAAGAATGGAAGAACTTTCAAAATAGTGTATGTCTCTCTAAGCTCTAGCCTCCTCTCCAAGATATATGATTCTAAGTTATGTTCTCTCAAGATATGATGATATGAAGATATGATGTAAAAATGGCTCAAAATCCTTTTATAGGTAGCTCAAGTGTGACACCCAATGATCAGGTCTCGTGCACTAGGGTCCCTTTAATGATTGCACCATGAGCCATTTTTTAATGAGCTGGACTCTGTTTTAATTCGGACTTGAAGAGGTTCAATCGATCGAATTCAGATGAGATCGATCGAACTGTAGCCAGATCCATCGATTTTAGGCCAGATCGATCAATCCTTGGCAGCGCCTTTTTGGAATAAGACAAATCCGTGATATTTTTGGGATATTTTGGGAAAAAGACAAAAGTGGTAGGTGAGGATAAAATCAAGGAAGTTCGATCGATCTAAATAAAATTGGATCGATCGAAGATGGAAATTCTTTGAGGACAAGGACAAGAGGTCTAATCCATTATGGTGAGGTGAGATCGATCAATGTGAGATCGATCGAAAGTATTCCTGATCGATCAAAGATTGCTGATTTCCACCACTTTGCTTCCACTTTGCTCAATTCTTCCATTCAGATTGGGATTGCTTCTTTTATGCTCTAATTTGGCTGAATTGACTTATTTTGGGGATAAGCACCTAAAAAGGGCAATAACATGAAATTATTCTAAAACGGGAAAGTAAGATAGATAAAGGTTCTAGAATACTCGAGCTTAAGGGATTTAAATGCGCACTTTTTAGCGCTTATCACAGCACATGGGCCCACTGGCGCCTTGAAATGCATAAAACAATAGGGATATATCCCCTGTTTAATGGCAAATCGGTGCACACAGTCCGCCGGTGGCGGAGCCCCTTCTTCCACGGTGACCTCCTCTTCCATCAACTGGGCCACCCCACTGTCAATCTCGTGTCTGGCCATGTCTCCAGTAGACGTGCAGAACCTATCCCCCGGCCCAAAGAACGGAGCTCTCTTCCATTCTTCCTCTGACGGCACTTCCAGCACTGGTTCACTGGTTTTGGTCAACTGTTTCCTCTTCATCATTTTGTCAAACACCTTCACTGCT